TATATAATCAATCATCTATCTATTATCTAAATAGATACATATCTCACTATATAGATATAGAAATTATCATATATAAATAACAATAGTATTGTTATATAGATAGATGTGCATGTATATTGTATATGTCTGTGTATGTATACATACACACATATTAAGTATGTGTATTTTCAGTCATGTCCAACTCTTTGTGAACCCATTTCAGGTTTTCTTGGTGAAGATACTAGTGCGGTTTGCGATTTCTTTCTCCAGCCCATTTTATAGATATGGAAACTGAAGCAAACAGGATTAAATAACTTGCCCAGGGTCACATAGTTCATATGTTTCTGAGGCCAGATTTGAACTCAGGTCTTCCTGAGTCTAAACCCAGTGCTCTATCCACTGAGCCATCTAGCTGCCTCCAAGAGAATAGTAATAAGAAAAATACTTTAAAGGGCTACAAAAATGTGAGTTATTAAGAGGCAGAGTAGTATAGTGGAAAGAGCATTAGATATAGAATACATGGTTTGGAGTTCAAATCCTGACCATTCTATTTAATAGCTATATAACCATGAAAGTCCTCAAACCTCTCTCAGCCTTGGTTCTCTCATTTACAAAATAAGGAAAATATCCTTTATACTACAGTTTTCCCCTTCACATCACAACTTTCCCCAACACAGTTGCAATGTGTTGTCAGCATATGCATATGACATATGCGATATGTCAGCGTAAGAAATTAAATGGGAATTTTTTTGAAATTTTGCAGAAGCCACAAACAACAGATGAGAAGGCCAGCAGATGACAGAGAAAAAGTTTAGAAACTCAGAAATGCATTAAAATGTATGTATAGTATTGTATGATAGCAATATATTTTATCTTTTAATACCATAATAATTCAGACTTCCTTGGTATGAAGCAAGGGCCAAAAATTTTACACAGATTTTCCAGATCGCGGGAGCATTGTGCCCCTAACCCACTCAATACATAACTATAGATATTTTACCAGGCTCTTGTGAGGAAAATGCTTTTAAATATTAAAGTACTATAGAAATGTGAGCTGCTATAAGCATCATCATCACTGTCATCATTAGCATTACTTTACAATCCTCTTAAATCAAAAGCAGGAAGAAATCCTGGAAGCAAAAAGCATCTTATTTGTTTGTTTTTTCTTTTTTTTTAGTATCTGATTTATTTATTTATTTATTTTTAGTTTTCAACATTCACTTTTGAGTTTTCAGTTTTCTTCCCCTCCCTCCTCCCCAAGATGGCATACAATCTAATATAGGCTCTACATATACATTCCTATTAAACATATTTTTATATATGTTTATATGTTTTTATATATGTTATAGTATCTTGTTTGTTTTGCATTGTATTTGGAGTAAATAAAATGTATAAGAAGATGCTGAGCTACCAACAGGAACCCATGACTATATAAGTTGTTTCTTTATATGTTTGGTTGGGCTGGGGGGTGGTGGAGGTCAGGTACAATTTTTACATTAGCTCCCCACCTCACCACCCTTATTTCTATTTTTTATAATATATATATATATATATGTGTGTGTATATTTTTTTTTAAAGTTTTCTCATCAGGTTACAAACAAAACAGGCACCAAAACTCCATTTTGTGATTTTGTGGGGTTGGGGAAGAAGAATTTAAAGTCAACAGATTTCTGGTGATTCAGGAAACTACGTGCAGAGAATGCTTCTATGTGATAGTGATCCCCAGTAAAAGCTGTGCCTTCCACCTGCAATTGGCAAAGTGCCCAAACTGGCAATTTCCTATTTTACATTCATTTTTCTTCAGAATGATTTTGTTGGGGGGGGGCAGAAAGGAAAAGATAAGGTTCTCCAAACTCATTTCTTCAATACAAAGTTTGAACAGAGTGCATTTTCTTAGTTCAGTTGACAACACAGTTGTTTGAAAGAAATGATAATGAAAATGCAGAGACCACTCACTCCCATGGCATTAGAAATTACTGTTGTTATAATAATGATACAGATTACACTAATAGCTATTCAAAGACAGTTGCTGAAAGGAGAATAATTTGTATTCTTTGGGCAGACAGCATGTGGGAAACATGATGGGCTATGGGACAATAACTGCTGCTACACTAGACTGTTGTGGTTTTGGTTTGGTTTTTTTTTTTGGGGGGGGGAGTGTAGAAGACTGCCTAGAAGGTGTAGAAGTCAGAAGCTTCATTAGAGTATTTTACCCTGACCTAAATCACTTCAGTAGCAGAGAAATGTTTTGTTTTTGGTTTTCAGTCCTCTGCTTTCAAGGCTAGGATTACTTCTCAATTTATGCTAACTGATCTGACTTATCTTGAAAGGCAACTTATCTTGAAAGGTTTAGCTCCAAGACACATCTGTATCAATTTGTTTTGGCCAAAGTCTTAAGAAAAGATTCTGGAGTCTTTCTATCTCAATTGAGCAGTCAGATCAAACTGATCTCAGCATTAGGGACTACCCTGAGCCATCCTCTTTTGGGAATGATAATAATCAGGCAATACCCTAGGTATTTTGCAATATAATCACAAAAGCACAGAACGTCAGAGGCAGACAGGAAGAACCTCAGAGACACTTCAGTGTGAGGATAGACAGATGAATAGGATAGACTGATAGACAGGTAATTAGATGAAAGACAGATTGATAGAAAGATAGACAGACAGAAGATGGATAGATGCCGAAATGTTTATTAAATGTTTACTATGCGCCAGGCATTGTGCTTAGCTCTAGTGATACAAATGTTGTTGCTCAATCATTTCAGTCATGTCCAACTCTTCATGAGCCCATTTGGTGTTTACTTGGCAAAGATACTAGAATGGTTTGCCATTTCCTTCTCTAGCTCATTTTACAGATGAGGAAACTGAGGCAAACAGGGTTAAGTGAGCTGCCCAGGGTCACACAGCTAGTAAGTGCCTGAGGTCAGATTTGAACTCAGATGTTCCTGACTCCAGGTCTGGCACTGTATCCACTGTACCACCTACCTGCCCAGGGACACAAATGCAGGAAAGCAAAGCAATCTCTTGCCCTCAAGAGTTTTACATTTTAATAGAGGAAGATAGCATATAAAGAGTAAGTGGAAAAGATTATGTCTTAACAAATTTTTTCTTGTCTAGTTCATTAATAACACAACTGCAATAAATCTACCAGAATTGGAAATAACAGTTAATTGTACAAAAAAATAAATAATAGGAAGGTGGAAAGAAGCTTTATTCTCCCTCCCACATTCCTTGATCCACTCACACTACCCTGTTCTCACAGGAAACTCTACCTTCCATCTCCTGGTCTTTGCACTTGCATTTCTTGTACTTGTATCTCCTAGCAAAGTGTCTGGTACATAGTAGGCATTTTAAAAATGCTTGTTGATTGCTTAATTAATTTTATAAAGCAGCTAAAATTATATTGAATGGAAATCAATATTTACTCCAAAGAACAAGAGGAAACAATTTTGAAAATACTACTTCCAACCAACATCTTCCTATATCATTACCAAGTGCTCTGCGATTTCCTATAAATACAAAATTGCTCCTATTCCTGGCTTTTAGAGAAGCAACTTCAAAGATAGATGTGTCCTGAGTACAGAGTGGGAGATCATATTTCCATGTTTTCCAAATCAGAACATTTGTCTTTAAAACAATGCAAAAGCTACACTCACTGAAATCTGTAATCTGATATGAGCATTCAATCAAAGAGCCATCCTCTGTGACAAAGTGGCAGATACTGTCACGTGGTATGGGGTTGCTATGGAAACCACTCCATTTTAGCAGTCACCTTATACCTTACAAATATTCACAAATGGACAACATCCATCCCTTTTCTTCTCTGCCCTTATCAGACTTTAACTCATGCATAAGTCTAGGAGCTTGCTTTGACCTCCTCTTCTCACCCTACAACCTAATTCTAGTTCATAGTCTAAAGTCAAAAGTAGCCTTAGTAATCAAGAGAGGTTTCAGCAGCACAAAGTCTCATAACCTGCTGTACTTTTCATACTCCATTTATTTCAGGAAGGATGACTATAAGTCCATCTGAGAATTAGAGATAATGGACATGGGAAACACTGACCCAAATATCGCCATGACTATCACCACCACCACCATCATCAAGCATTTATTAAGCTTCTACTATATGTCTACAATGTGCTAAGTGCTATGGATACAAAGGGCGGGGGAGGAATGTCCTGGTCCTCAAGAAGGTCACATTCAAATTCTTAATATAATAAGATATGGGACAATGACAAGACAATGAGAATGTTTCTCCAAACTGAACTTACTCTCTTGCAAATTAGATCATCATTATTATTAGCCCTCTCTCCTTCTTGAAATTTATATTATTGTATAATATCTCCTACATATCTTATACTTCACTATTTGCTTACATTTTGTCTTCCACAAGTAGTATGTGAACTCATTGAAAGTCCAGGACATATTTTTGTCTTCATATTCCTAGTGCCTAGGACAGTGCCCTACTCAGAGTAGACGCATAGTAAATGTTTGTCATTTAGAACTAAAGCATATCCATAATCCCTGCATGCAAAAATGAAGGTTATGCTCTCAGGTAACACGATGCATAATTTAATTTAATTTTTTATCTGGTTCTGTGATTTCATTGGCTTAAAAATCCCTCAACCAAGGCAGATCTGTAATTGTTCTGAAACTTATGGTCTTAGAGTTGCCTTGGGGCACTGAGAAGTTAAAATGACTTGCTGCCGGTATATTTCAGAGGCAGGACCTGATGCGGGGTCTTTCTGACTCAAAGCCTAGCGCTCTAGCCTCCACTCCCTTCTGGCACTGCCGAAATTGTAGATATGACTTAAGGCACTGATATTGTTCAGTTTCTGACAATCCATGCTATCGGATGCTCTGCCACTTGGACCTGGCTAAGAAGAACCTTTTGCGAATTATGCACAACTCTGAGAATTAAATGCACACACACATAAGCTGTTTCTGAAACCGAGAGTCTTGTTTTTTTCAAGTGGGTGTGACACCCACCAGATCAGGAATTCATACTTCAGAGAGTACCTGCCAAAATAAGCTATGGGCATCTCCTCTCAAAAGCTCCACCGTGTCCCCTATTTGGATGTGCAAAGGAGGTCCTTCGTGTTGTGGAGGTTGTGGGGTTCCAGTGTAATTCTTAATGACCTGCATCTTCGGTAGGCCTGGAATAAGAAAAACAAAGTCTTTCAAGGAATGAACTGAGAATGTGTAAAGTCTTAAATATACTTTAAGAAAACAGAGCTATTATTCACATTAGAAGTTTAGACACATCTAATCCTAGGAAATCTCCGGAGTGACCACACTGGAATGCTTTACAACTTTCTCATTATTTAAGCGACTAATGAAATGCGATGCATCTCTGCTCACAACCTACATACAGAGTCCTACCCTCCCCTACCATCAATCTGTTTTTAGTTAAAGAAAATATTTCTCCTTTGGCTTATGCCTCCTTCACACAAACACATCACGTGCAGTTTAATGGAAAAGAATCAATTTTTTCATCAACTCTATCCTTTCTGCCTATTACTTTCCTCCTGGGCACTGGCTGATTTCATCACTAAAGAGGTTCACCCCTTTCTGTGTATATATCACATTGCCCAGGCCAAGGTCCACATCTTAAGGTTATCTTTGTAATTTGAACCAAAAAATGTGATGGATGTGTTATTGTAATACTTAAGACATTTATATGGAGAAAGTCTCTGGGCCTGAATTTGAGCTTGTAAAATAATTCCAATAAAGGGTCATGTCCAAGACATTAGGATCCACAAGCATTCCATTATTCATAAGACAAAACACTTAGAAAAAATATTTTTCTTTTTCTTTGTATTATCAGTTGCTAAATGCACACAGCCTGGGAACTCAGTTCAATCTGTCATTTGCAGGAACAAAGGTTTCCATCACACGTACTTCCTTAATACTAATATTTGCTGTTGGCGCTAGCTCAGCACAGTGCTATTTTCACTTAAAGGTGAGACTTCTCCCTCCTAAGACATGATCTAATCATAAAGATGACATTTATCACACATTTGTGGACTTCAATCACTGTAACAGATGGTCTCTTTTTTAAAAAAAAACTTGTGTCACTCAAATAAGTGATCACAATGATGACATAACAGGCTGAAATGTCATACTAAATGAATGAGGGAAAATAAATAGGCCCCAGTTCTTGGGATCCAAACCTATAGGACAGTTTCAAAATCAGGTAAATTACTACACGTCGCAGATTAAGAAGCTACTCAGGAGTATAGTGCAGTACTTGACTCTTCCATTTGAGCTAGGTAGCACAGTGGATAAAGTGCTAGGCCTAGAGTCAGGAAGACTCATCTTTGTGAGTTCAAATCCTGCCTCAGACCCTCAGTGTAAGCTGTGTGACCTGGGCAAGTCACTTAACCCTGTTTGCCTCAGTTTCCTCATTTGTAAAATGAGCTGGATCAGGAAATGGCAAACCACTCCAGTATCTTTGCCAAGAAAATCACAAATGGGGTCACAAAGAATTGGACACGACTGAACAGCAACTTAACTTTCAATAAGCATTTATGATTTTGTACTATCATGCTATGTACTTGGGAGGCTAAAAGGTTGTGACTTGAATAGTCTTTTATCCTTCTGGTCAATCAGCAGAAAAAAAACGGGGAGGGGGGAGCTTCAAAGTAATGCCAACTAATTTTTAACTTTCACCCTAATTTTCTTATTTGAAGGTTAAAGGACAGTTACAGGCTGCTACAATTCTCCAACTTTTCTTGAACTCTGTCCCAAATGCAAAGGCCCAGAGGGGATGGCTTTAAGCCTACCTCTTTCTTAACCAAACGTAGTTAGGTGGGGCCCAGGAACTAACCTTACACAAACATTAAACTTCACCATCTTTTACCAAGAAAAATACCCACAAGAAAACTAACTGTGCAGAGATGTTTATCAGTCTCATTTGCATTAAACTGTAAGCTCACCTCTTGGGCTAGGAATCAAAACTAAAATTTTCTACAGTCTACTCGGTTTCAAATATGAATTGAAATTTGAAATACAGGAGGTCCTAAAATTCTTTATGCAGAGTATCTGGGCCTCTGTCAGCTCGTAGGACTGGGTTATACATCTTTTGAGGCATAGAGCCCTTGAAGATATATAACTATAGGCAGAAATAGTGGCATGGAATAGGTATGGAATGGTTGAGAGCTAGATTTTTGGAGGGAACTCCCAAATCTTTGAAATCACAGAACTATTTGAGCACTTGAGTTTTAAAATGAGGGAGTCAGACTAGAGAATCTCTAAGGTCCTTTCTGTGAGCTGTGAATTAAGATAACCCCAAAGTTTCAAATGGGAAATAGTTATGCCTTTGGCAGAGATGGGAAGGAGGAGGAAGAAGAAAAAGCATTTATATTTTGTGTACCACATGATGGCCACTGTGCTAAGCACTTTGCAAATATTATCTCACTTGAGCCTCACAGCAACCCTGTGAAGTAGGTGCCATTATTATCCACATTTGACAGGCAAGGAAATCGAGGCAAAGATTAAGTGACATGTCCAGTATCAGACACCTAGTGTCTGAGGCTGCATTTGAATTCATCTCTTCCTGACTGCAGGCCTATTATGGCACTATGGCGTCACCTCACAGCTTCTGGAAATAGTGAAGGAGGGAAAATCAGGGGTGAAAAGATTATGTGATAAATTTTAGATGTGTTAGGTCTGGGGTTCTGGTGAGATATCCAGATGGAGATGGACTATAAACAATTGTAGATGTGGGTCTGGAGTTCAGAAATCAAGTTAAGCCTAGAGGTAGAAATTCAGAAATCATCTGAAGGCAGCATGGCGTAGTAAATCAAAACTAGGAATCAGGAATACTTAGGTTCAAATCCCACTTCGGGTATTTACTAGCTATGACTTTGACCAAGTAACAACCTTTCTGAACCCCAGTTTACTAATTTGTAAAATAGAAATAATAAAAGCAACCTCAAAAGGTTCTTGAGGGAATTAAGATAATATTAAAAATTTTGCAATTCTTAAAGTACTATATAAATGTGAACTGTTATTATTATTATTATTATTATAATCTGCTCAAAGGTAGAAGCTGACTTTCTGTGAATAATAGCAATTGTTGAAAACTTAAATTAATATTTCCCCTAAAATGCACTCCCCGCCCTCCCCCTCCCCACACACACACTGGCTCCTTATTAAAAAAAAATCATGCAGCAATTAGGTTACTTGCAAAGCAAACAAAACTAACATCAATAAATGAAAAATATTTTTTCCAAAAGAAGAAATTGAAAGGGCTGGTTAAATTAAACGTCAAGTATCCAACCATCAATATAATTGACAGCCTTATCTACTGTCACTGTTAAGGTTGAGAATAACCTCTGGTTTTTTCAGGGCCAGATCTTTCTCTACCAAATAGCTGCCCTTTGCCTCTGCCCTACTCTTTCTCTGCCCACCACCCTGCCCCACACCACCCTGTTCTAAAATGGTCTATTCTTAGAATCTTTCAGGCTAGAAATTATCAGCTTCCCAGAAAACTGGGAAAGAATCTTTACAACCAGTGTCTCCGATTAAGGCCTCATTGCTAAAATAGAACTATGTCAAATTTATAAGAATACATACAACTCATTCCCTAATTGATAAAGGGTCAAAGGATATGAACAGGAAGTTTTCAGATGAAGAAATTAAAGCTATCTATAGTCAAATGAAAAAATGCTCTAAATTATTATTAATTAGAGAAATGTAAATCAAAACAACTTTAAGGTACCACATCACAAATATCAGATTGGCCAACATGACAAAACAGGAAAATGATAAATGTTGGAGAAGATGTGGAAAAACTGGAACACTAATGCATTGTTGGTGGAGTTGCAAACTGATCTAATCATTTTGGAGAGCAATTTGGAACTATGCCCAAAGGGTTATAAAAATGTGTATACCCTTTGACCCAGCAATAGCACTGCTAGGGCTGTATCCCAAAGAGATCATACAAATGGGAAAAGGAACCACATGTACAAAAATATTTATAGCAGCTCTTTTTGTGGTGGCAAAGAATTGGAAATTGAAGGGATGCCCATCAGTTGGGGAATGGGGCTGAACAAGTTGTAGTATACGACTGTAATAGAATACTATTATGCTATAAGAAATGATAAGCAAGTGGACTTCAGAAAAACCTGGGAAGACTTATATGTACTGATGCTGAGTGAAGTAAGCAGAACCAGGAGAACGCTGTACACAATAATAGCCACGTTGCACAATGACTAACTTTGAGATTCTTAGCTCTTCTCAGCAATGCAAAGATCTAAGACATCTCCAAAAGTCTAATGATGGAAGTCTGAATGCCGATCAAAGCACACTATTTGCTCTTTTTTTTCCTTCTGTTTTGTTTTGCTTCTTTCTTGTGGCTCCTCCTCCTATTGGTTCTAATTCTTCTTTACAGCATGACTAACATGAAAATATGTTTAATAGGAACGTATATGTAGAGCCTATATCAGATTGCAGGCTATCTTAGGGAGGAGTAAAAGGAGGGGGAGAAAATTTAAAACTCAAAAGCTTATGGAAGTGATTGTTGAAAACTAAAATTAATTAATTTAAAAAAATTATCAGCTTCCTAGACAATTAGCATCTCCCTGCCTATAATATTAAAGACTAGGGAACTAATCAGACTCACCAGAGGACAAGTGTCATAGACTTAGGGCAAGAAGGGATCCTTTCCCAAAATAGCCAATTCCATTCAGTTGTTCACCCAGGTTACTAAATTGAAAGGGTTTTTTGGTTTCATTTGTTTTTGTTCTTTTGTTTTATTTTGTTTTTATTAAGAGAAAGTTAGGGAGTGAGAGGGTGGAAGAGAAGGGAGGAGAGAAGGGGACATTATCACAAATGCTTCATTGGGCATGTCCAGAGAAGCCTGGGTTATACTAGTATTTTCCTGCTGGCAACATTCTAGACAACCCAGCTTTAACTCTGTTATCCTCAGAAAGTAATTACTAATGATGGGTGTTTGTATAACACACAACTACTTTATGTCCATAAACACTTTCCTGGAATAAATCGAAATCAGTTCCTACAACATCTTGTATGACTAATGATTTTTTAATGTAGCTTTGTTTAGATTTTAAATTAGGTCTCTGAGGTGAAAGGCCAGCATATTACTGACAGCCCATTTATCTAGCCGGCACCACTCTCATCTAAGTGATTG